TGTATCGTCTGGATTGGAGGACACACCTGTCTCGTCGGTGCGTGAGTCAATAAGCTGTTAAGAACAACCCGACCTTTTGGCGATGCGAAGGACTGTTAATTGTTCACCTGCTTGACTGTCTACTTGCCTGAATAAATTAATGTTCATTATTTATTCTTCAATTTTGGGGCGAGAGTTGAAGGTGTATGGAAGCGGCTCGTTGGTCTAGGGGTATGATTCTCGCTTTGGGTGCGAGAGGTCCCGGGTTCAAATCCCGGACGAGCCCGTCAAGTTTTTATTACTCGTTTCGTCCATTCACTGAGGCATTAAGATAAATATTTTGACATGTCGTGGTAATTGTCACCTGAAAATCACGCTGTTCTTGCCTTCCATTTCCAGACACAGAGACGCATTGCTCAATGTGTTTAGTTCTGTGTTTGTTTTTGAATGCTCAAAGCCGCAGAAAAAATCGCGATGTATACGATAGGCACACAGGCAAAAAGCGCCCATCATCTAAATTATCTTTTCTGCCTTTCCGTAAAAGGCTTGGAAATCACAGCATCATGGTTTAATTGGTTTTTGTTTGATATAAAATGCAATGACTTTCAATTTGAGCTAACAAAAATAATTCCTTTTGTTCTGTCCCCGCAAATTAAACTTCTTTTAGGTACTGTGACTCTGCATCAACCTGTATTAATGTTCACAATTAATTAATAAATCTTGCTTTAAATAACACACACCCGTGTCAGCGGCTAGTTGTTTTATGGATTCTCACTTTGGTTTTGACAGGTCCCGAGTTCAAATCCCGGTCGAGCCCAACAGCATCTTAGTAATCAGTTGAAGAATTTGTTCAAACGTATGGAAGAACATTTTGCCATGTCTTACTTACTGCCTCACTGAAACTCTGCTGATTTTTAATACATACGAAAAATTGCACCTCAACTGTCGTTAATATTGAAGTAAAAATTATGGAAAAGTGAAAGAAACCTTGCGGCATAAACAAAGGCATGGAATAACCACCATTCTGTTTTGTTGATTGCCACGTTGTGATGCAACGTCTATGGCACACATTGTTTCGTCACAAATAATAGACGTCATTTCTTATTAGTGATGCCTTGACTACAGTGTAAATAGAAACGACAGAGAAGAGATATGCATGTAGCAGTTTTCATTTTCACTAATCGTTTAAGCAGTAGGACTTGCTTTTCTGCAGTAAAAGGTACGATTTCTTTTTCTTTTTTGCCTCAACCGATATAGTAGCCTATTATGTAGGTATATTTCATATATAGAGCATATTCTACAGATTAAAAAAAAAATTCAGTTATGCTTGCAACGGGTATTTGACCAAAACGTGCATCTGAGTTGCGGATCGAGATAGCCTATATTTTATCGCTGTAAAATAGTTTCGTGGCTTATACTCATGCAGGCACATTATTTTAAAATATGATTTCAAACCATCATTTTCTTTCAATTGTCTTTATTTGTTCCTCTGTAACAATTCTGTTAGTAGGAGAATGGCATTCGAGTAAGGATACCATGGCATACGTTCTTTCGTTCGATTCTGTCAGCCGTTATGTTCCGTTTTGCTTTCCTCATTGCCCCTTTTATCCATTTTTCTACACTTCTTGCTTTCTATATTAATTAGACTTGCCCTTTTTTCATATCTCTCTTTTTTCCACTGTTTTTTCATGTAGATCAACATTTGAAAAAAAAAAGACGAAAAAGGTTGCCATAGACTAGACCCCAGAAAAGAAAAAAAAAGACCCTAGTTGAAGATATTACTAGAATAAATGTTTTATCAAAGAATCTTTTCTACGATCTTTTTTTCGGATTTTATAAAACATTAAGAAAGTTTTTAATCTGATTAAATTTTATAATAATTTCGCCATAGATAGCTGAGCCTGATGAATGAGGAGATGGGTGTAAGATTGTGCTAGGTGAGATATTACGCTACTGGTGCAACACAATTTTATCTACCTGGAATCGCCAGATGACAGGCAGTGCGTGCATGTCTTACCTGATGTCTTCTTGAACATTCGAGTATTCGCAGATCTTGAACAATTGTATCTCTGGGATGAATTCTTCATAATACACCAAAAGAAAACCCGCATTCCAAAAGTCAATTAATCTTGTGTTGACATTATGCTTGGATAGGGGTAAGGTACACAGGCGGCAGATTGAAACATATCGGGGTATGACTTGAAATCATGGTTCTGTTGATTGTCAAGTCACTTTATGACACCATAATAAAACATCCATGTTGTACATTGTTTCATCACAAACACAAACGTAATTTCCTGACGCAACGTATATGGCACACATTGTTGCGTCACAAAAAGTACATGTCATTCCCTAGCGATGCGTTGACCACAGTGTAAATAGAAACGACGGAGAAGAGATATGCACGCAGCAGGTTTCATGTTTACGTATTAGTTCAGTAGACCCGAACTCTTTTTTTTGCAGAAAAAGCAGTAAAAGGTAAGAATCCTCTTTTAACTATGTCAAGCCTATGTTGTGGGCTTTTTTCATAGATTGATCACGTTCTACTGATAAGCAAGGTGATATTTGCAGGCACGCTAGCATATCATCATAATAACCAGATGTCATAATAACCAGTGACAAAAAATAGAACTGACATAAAAACGTATTTGTGGAATGACTGTAGTTTTATCAGTATGACACATGCACACCAGCAACTAATGAAAACCGTCTTGAAAACAACGAAATGCTGTTTTGTAAATCAATGGTCAAATAAAGTAAAGCATAATATAGCACGTTAACACTGCCTTCATTACTTACATGTGTGTCTGTGTTTTATTGTAGACCTTATATATATATTTCAGTTTTCAATGACAGCATCCATGTCCAACTAATTCTCTATAAGTTATATATATATATATATATATATATATATATATATATATATTGCTAAGATGTGACTATTTCTGTTTTATGACAAGCAAAGTTACTCATTCTTGTCAACAATCAGATGTTTATCACTGTGATAACCAAGTTCACAAATCACTCTGTCTGAAGCAATCCAGAGGTTTATTGGCGTCGGTATCCGGTTAAAAGAAGACACGAGGACAGTCGTATATGCCCCCATGTTCGGCACGTACAACCAGTCTCCGATGTCCAGCTCGGGCAGTTCTATTTCTTGTGTTATACAGTCATAGGGGTTGCACGTTGGTCCCCATAAGCTGCTTTGGGACACTGGCATAGAGTCTTTGTTCTGGAAAATGAGAAACACACAATAAAAAGGTAGGATTTTCAAAGTTGAAAATGTCCAAATTAACATGTCACACGTATGTGCCATAGCAACCTTCACCACTTTTCAAATGTGTAATTTGATGGCTCAGGTACTTGAAGGCATGTATTCTTTCTTCTCATTACAAACGTACCCTGTATAGTTATTTAATCGTAAGAGGCTTACCTCAAGTAAATAAAAATCTGGTGCATGTTTTTCAAACAAAATATGGACGTTAAAGGAACCGTGGAGGCCGTCATTGAGGTAGTACATAAAGGTTTTCTGTGTGTCATCTCTATCTTTTGGCCGGTAGTGTTGTGGGTCAAGCAGCTCCACCCGTCTAGCTATTACCCGTACTGCAAGAGTGAAAGCAGACTGTACATAGTAACGGCCGGGCTGTGCAATCACTTCAACATTTTCCTCATCGGGGAAATATTTTTCCAGTGAATTGTTAATTGCCTTGGCAATGTCAGATAATGATTGTTTTCCTTCAGTCTCATAACCGGGGAATCCACCACCGACGTCGAGGAAGTTGAAATTGAAACCGATGGTCTTGGCCATGTCGAAGATGCTGCGACACAGACTGATAGTGTGTTGGTAGGCAAATGTATCAAGACAAGAAGAACCAACATGAAAACTGAAATTACAATTAAAAAATCTAAATATCTTCATATCTTCCCACATTTCTGTCATTTGTGACATCTCTGGCATCAAGTTGTTGTTTGCTATGGAAAATGAAGTAAAGGGACGGATACTCTTATCATCTATCATTTGTAGGTTTTAATGAACATGAATTGTCTGACAGACTAGAACAATGGAATTATTTATATCAAGCCCAGATGAACATGCATAAATACATTAATTGGTCTGTTTAAAATAAACTGAAAGCCCATGGATTTCAAAACTGGACGACAATGAATTTAAAAAGAAAACACTTTTTGTAGCTGTTTGTTGTGAAAATTACCTGATCCCAACGACAGTTAGTTCCAATTCTTTTGCCTTCAGTAAAAGCCTTTTGCAGTTTTCAATGGTACATCCAAATTTCTTTTCAATTTTAATAACGGCCTTATGTACTTGTGGAAGAATTCGTAATACGAGTCTTGCACCAGGATAAAGGCGCTTTGTTTTCACTAATTCATCTTCGTTATCAAATGTCATGAGGTCGACTCCTTGTTCTGATGCACGTTTAATTTCCTCGGGATCCTTGCACGGGTTGGCGTATATTATCCTATCTGCCTCCACCCTATATCTTAGAACCTGTTGACATTCAGCGCTGCTGGCGCAGTCAAACCCCGCCCCAAGTGCCGCAATGGTCTTCACGACTGGCTCAGTGTTGTTACATTTCACGGCATAAAAGGGTTTGACACGTGGCATCAGTTCCACCCAGTGCTTGTGCTTGTTGACTATGTCATCCAAGTTGGCAACGTAGAAAGGGCGCTGTCACCAAAAATGAAAAATTATTTGTAGGTGTTTTATGTTCTTTATTCTTGTTTTCTCATTGACAACGTATAGTATAATTATTTTAACCCCTTTTCCTTCTTTACTTATACACATTCCTTAAAAAGACACCCTAACAGCAACTTATACATAAACTACAATCACGCTATATAAAGAGAAAAAAAAAAACAGGTGCACGGTGGGTATAAAACATATAACGTACAAATGGACATTCTTTCTTACAGAAAAACTGTCGTTAAAGTTTATATACAACCCTTACCATATCGTTTCCTTGCAAAAGCTTGTCTTTGATAAGCTGTCGCATAGCTTGATGGCCATTTTTTGCGATGAATTTTTTAGAAGTTGTGACATCAGCATCTTCTGTGACATGAAACCTTTCTGTTTTCATATTTTTTCTTCGAAGGAAACAACCGTACTTCTGTCTAAAATATCAATTAAAAATCAAATTATTGGAACAGACAATTTCATGACAGATGTACACCACTGGAAAGTAAAAAAAAAAATAATAAATTAATAAAAAATAAAACAAAACCTTTAAAATAAAAAAATAAAACATCTAATTTAAACTCACCTACTTATATTTGTTTTCGAATTAACATTTAGTTCTGAATACATACCACGGGGCTGATATCTAAACAAAAGGATTGCCGGGACCGATACAATGAATGAGACGGAGTGACTGCCATGTGCGGAATATGGGCAGGAAATCAGCCAACTACTCACAGAAAACCACTGACCCATGTCTTTGTCAATACACACGAAACCACAAACCATTCACGCAAATAAAAATAATAGGACGGTGACCGCAATTAGGCAGTAAACTCGGGGAAAGTCCACTCTTTGATATCGCGTCATGCGCGGTGATATCAGCGTGTTCTATTTAAAAGTTAGGGGGGTTTGGGTGGGGAATATGTACGATTCTCCTAGANGATTATTGGCGTCGGTATCCCGTTAAAAGAAGACACGAGGACAGTCGTGTATGCCCCCATGTTCGGCGCGTACAACCAGTCTCCGATGTCCAGCTCGGGGAGTTCTATTTCTTGTGTTATACAGTCATAGGGGTTGCACGTTGGCCCCCATAAGCTGCTTTGGAAGACTGGCATGGAATCTTTGTTCTGGAAAATGAGAAACACACAATAAATAGGGAGGATTTTCAAAGTCGAAAATGTACAAATTAACATGTCACACGTATGTGCCACAGCAACCTTCACCACTTTTCAAATTTGTAATTTGATGGCTCAGGTACTTGAAGGCAAGTATTCTTTCTTCTCATTACAAACGTTTAGTTATTTTAATCTGAAGAGGCTTACCTCAAGTAAATAAAAATCTGGTGCATGTTTTTCAAACAAAATATGGACGTTAAAGGAACCGTGCAGGCCGTCATTGAGGTAGTACATAAAGGTTTTCTGTGTGTCGTCTCTATCTTTTGGCCGGTAGTGTTGTGGGTCAAGCAGCTCCAACCGTCTAGTATTACCCGTACTGCAAGAGTGAAAGCAGATTGTACATAGTAACGCCCGGGCTCTGCAATCACTTCAACATTTTCCTCATCGGGGAAATATTTTTCCAGTGAATTGTTAATTGCCTTGGCAATGTCAGATAATGATAGTTTTCCTTCAGTCTCATAACCCGGGAATCCACCACCGACGTCGAGGAAGTTGAAATTGAAACCGATGGTATTGGCCATGTCGAAGATGCTGCGACATAGACTGATAGTGTGTTGGTAGGCAAATGTATCAAGACAAGAAGAACCAACATGAAAACTGAAATTACAATTAAAAACTCTAAATATCTTCATATCTTCATATCTTCCCACATTTCTGTCATTTGTGACATCTCTGGCATCAAGTTGTTGTTTGCTATGGAAAATGAAGTAAAGGGACGGATACTCTTATCATCTACCATTTGTAGGTTTTAATGAACATGAATTGTCTGACAGACTAGAAAAATGGAATTATTTATATCAAGCCTAGATGTACAGGCATAAATACATTAATTGGCCTGTTTAGAATAAACTGAAAGCTCGTGGATTTCAAAACTGGACGACAATAAATTTAAAAAGAAAACACTTTTCGCAGCTGTTTGTTGTGAAAATTACCTGATCCCAACGACAGTTAGTTCCAATTCTTTTGCCTTCAGTAAAAGTACTTTGCAGTTTTCAATGGTACATCCAAATTTCTTTTCAATTTTAATAACGGCCTTATGTACTTGTGGAAGAATCCGTAATACGAGTCTTGCACCAGGATAAAGGCGCTTTATTTTCACTAATTCATCTTCGTTATCAAATGTCATGAGGTCGACTCCTTGTTCTGATGCACGTTTAATTTCCTCGGGATCCTTGCACGGGTTGGCGTATATAATCCTATCCGTCTCCACCCTATATCTTAGAACCTGTTGGAATTCAGCGCTACTGGCACAGTCAAACCCCGCCCCAAGTGCCGCAATGGTCTTCACGACTGGCTCAGTGTTGTTTAATTTCACGGCGTAGAAGGGTTTGACACGTGGCATTAGTTCCACCCAGTGCTTGTGCTTGTTGACTATGTCATCCAAGTTGGCAACGTAGAAAGGGCGCTGTCACCAAAAATGAAAAATTATTTGTAGGTTTTTTATGTTCTATATTATTGTTTTCTCATTGACAACGTATAGTATAATCATTTTAACCCCTTTTCCTTCTTTACTTATACACATTCCTTAAAAAGACACCCTAACAGCAACTTATACATAAACTACCATCACGCTATATAAAGAGAAAAACAGGTGCACGGTGGGTATAAAACATGCGACGTACAAATGGACATTCTTTCTTACAGAAAAACTGTCATATAAGATTATATACAGCTCATACCATATCGTCTCCTTGCAGAAGCTTGTCTTTGATAAGCTGTCGCATAGCTTGATGTCCATGTTTTGCAATGAATTTTTCTGAAGTTGTGACATCAGCACCTTCTGTGACATAAAACCTTTCTGTTTTCATATTTTCTCTTCGTAGGAAACAACCGTACTTCTGTCTAAAATATCAAATTAAAATCAAATTATCGGAACAGACAATTTCATGACAGATGTACACCACTGGGAAGTAAAAAATAAATTAATAAATTAATAAAAAATAAAACAAAACCTTTAAAATGAAATAATAAAACATCTAATTTAAACTCACCTACTTATATTTGTTTTCGAATTAGCATTTAGTTCTGAATACATACCACGGGGCTGATATCGAAACAAAAGGATTGCCGGTGTAACGTGACAGAAAGTCTCCCATAACAGAGAGTCCGCTTTCCAATCTTTTGTACAGGTGAGCCTCACCCTAGATTTTGACCCACTTAGGTCAAACTAACCCTAACCATTATAACTATATGGAGGGCGGGCTTTCTGTTACACGGCCACTCAGTTTCCTTACACCGGGACCGATACAATGAATGAGACGGAGTGATTGCCTCGTGCGGAATATGGGCAGGAAATCAGCCAACTGCTCACAGAAAACCACTGACCCATGTCTCTGTCAATACACACGAAACCACAAACCATTCACGCAAATAAAAATGATTAGACGGTGACCGCAATTAGGCAGTAAACTCGGGGAAAGTCCACTCTTTGATATCACCTCATGCGCGGTGATATCAGCGTGTTCTAGCTATTTAAAAGTTAGGGGGTTTGGGTGGGGAACATGTACGATTTCCTTTGTATGTATGACAAATAATGCACTGTTACCCCCCTCACCCGATATGCAAGATAGGAAGCCTCGCTGGCGCTCTTACATACGAAAAGTTGCACCTCAGTTTTCGATAATATTGAAGTAAAAATTATGGAAAAGTGAAAGGGACCTTGCGGCATATATAAAGGCTTGGCAAAACCACCATTCTGCTCCGTTGATTGTCACGCTATGATGCAACGTCACTGACACACATTGTTTCGTCACAAATAATATACGTCATTTCCTAGTGATGCTTTGACAACAGTGTAACTTAGTGTAAATAGAAACGACAGAGAAGAGGTGTGCATGTAGCAGTTTTCATTTTCACTTATTAGTTAGTAGTAGGACTTACTTTTTTGCAGTTAAAGGTAAGATTTTTTGCCTCCACCGATGTAGTATATATAGGGTGCATTCTACAGATAATTTTTTTTCAGTAATGCTTGCAACGGGTGTTTGGCAAAAACGTGCATTTAAGTTGCGGATAGAGATAGCCCATATTTTATCGCTGTAAAATAGTTTAGTGGCTTATACTCATGCAGGCGTCACATTGTTTTAAAATATGATTTTAAACCATCATTTTCTTTCAGTTGTCTTTATTTGTTCCTCTCTTACAATTCTGTTAGTAGGAGAATGACATTCAGGTAAGGAATTGCATCTTCTGTGGTCCCTGTGTTGAATAAGGATATCATGGCATTCGTCCCTTCGTTCGATTACGTAAGCCGCTATGTTCCGTTTTGCTTTCCTCCCTGCCTCTTACATCCATTTTTCTACACTTCTCGCCTGCTATATTAATTAAACTTGCCTCTGTTTTGTTTTTCTTTTTTTCCACTGGTTTTTCATGTAGATCAATATTTGAAAAGAAAAGATGAAAAAGGTTTCCATAGACTAGACCCCATACATAAAAAATGACCCTAGTTGAAAATATGACTTTAATAATTTTTGATATTTAGAAAAATAAGTGTTTTATTAAAGAATCTGGGCTTCGTATCTCGAAAGGTTCGCTATGTTGCGCACGTGCGCAAGTGTCTCGATTCCATAACCGATTCTATTTCGAGATACGGGGCCATGGAATCGAGACGCTTGCACACGTGCGCACATTACGATACTGGTGCAACACATTATATCAACCTGGAACCGCCACTTGGCAGAAAGTGTGTCCATGTCTCACCTGACGTCTTTTTGAACACTTGGGCATTCGTAGATCCTGGACAGTTGTATCTCTGGGATGATTTCCTCATATTACACCAGAAGAAAATCCGCATTTCAAAAATCACTTGTTCATGTGTTTATATCATGCATGGATAGGGGTAAGGTACTCGGACGGCATATTGAAACATACTGGGTTATGGGTTAAAATCATAGTTCGCTGTTGATTGTCAAGTCACTTTATGACGCCATAACAAAAAGTCCATGTTGTACATTGTTTCATCACAAACACAAACGTCATTTCATGATGCAACACAATGGTACACATTGTTTTGCCACAAATAGTACACGCCATTCCCTAGCGATACGTTGACTACAGTGTAAATAGAAACGACGTAATGGAGATATGAACGTAGCAGTTTTCATGTTTACGTATTGGTTCAGTATTATTAGTTCAGTAGACCCGAACTCTTTTTTTTTTGCAGTTTAAGCAGTAAAAGGTAAGACCCCTCTTTTAACTTCGTCAAGCCTATGTTGTGGGTATTTTTCATAGTTTGATCACATTCTACTGATAAACAGGGTGATATTTGCAGGCCCGCTACCATATCATCATAATAACCTGAAGTCATTTCATGCCATTTGTTAACTTTGGATCCGACCACTAAATAAGTGTATTAATTTTTAAAATCAAACTCATGTGAAATAGAAATCAATAAATTCACTCCGCTATCAAAATGCTCTTATACTGTATTTTGCTTTTAAGTCTCGCCTTTTGGTCTCACACTTCGAATCGAAATTGGAATTTGACGAAACGTCGCATAGCTTGGTGGCCATGTTTTACAAAGAATTTTTTAGAAGTTGTGACATCAGCATCTTCTGTGACATGAAACTTTTCTGTTTTCATAGTTTTTTTCGTAGGCAACAACCGTATTTCTGTCTAAAATATCACAAAGTCAAATTATTGGAAAAGACAATTTCTTGACAGATGTACTGTTAGTGCCAGATTCCTTGCTTTAGATATACAAGGTGCAAGTGCTCGATTCCTTGTGTTAGATATACAAGGTGTGAGTAGTTTTCATGACTTGCGCGAGTAGCGCCTCTGTATTGAAGGTAACCGAGTCATAACGCTACAGGATTTTGCACAAGTACGGTCTCTCCTGCAGTTTACCGTTATTTCCAACGTTGTATGGTGTATTGTTACAGTTGTACGGAGAAATCATAATGTAAGTGTTTATCTTATCAAAATATATTTGCATAGTTTACTTATAAGTTGTCTGTATAAATAATTGTGTTAAAATATTGGTACATTAGCTAGAGCACCTGGTAGGGTGTGGCCACTAGTATGAAATACAGTAAATGTAAAATACGAGAACGCATTGGTATAATTGTCAACTGTATAGCCTTGCTGTTATTCAGCATTTAACGTTTTAATTAAAATTATATTAGGATAATTGCACTATAAATTATATTTCATATTATTTGTGCTCATTGAATAGATATAACAGATCCAAGTCTCGCTTTATAAAGCCGATTTAATGTAATGTTCAATATATCTAGTGTAATACAGTTATATATTTGATATATGTAATTTAAATGTTCAGATGTATATGTATAAGTATTTACATCGTTTCCTTTATTTATTTATTTTATTTATTGTTTTCTTTTCTAGATTATGTACCTTGCTGACTTGCTGATATGCTGACTTGTTTATTTGCTGGACCGACATAAGAGATGTGAATGGCAAAATGTTAACTGAACTGAACGTTGAAATAAAGCACGAGTACAATATATTCTCCACTGTCTCAACGATGTNAAAAAGTCCATGTTGTACATTGTTTCATCACAAACACAAACGTCATTTCATGATGCAACACAATGGTACACATTGTTTTGCCACAAATAGTACACGCCATTCCCTAGCGATACGTTGACTACAGTGTAAATAGAAACGACGTAATGGAGATATGAACGTAGCAGTTTTCATGTTTACGTATTGGTTCAGTATTATTAGTTCAGTAGACCCGAACTCTTTTTTTTTTGCAGTTTAAGCAGTAAAAGGTAAGACCCCTCTTTTAACTTCGTCAAGCCTATGTTGTGGGTATTTTTCATAGTTTGATCACATTCTACTGATAAACAGGGTGATATTTGCAGGCCCGCTACCATATCATCATAATAACCTGAAGTCATTTCATGCCATTTGTTAACTTTGGATCCGACCACTAAATAAGTGTATTAATTTTTAAAATCAAACTCATGTGAAATAGAAATCAATGAATTCACTCCGCTATCAAAATGCTCTTATACTGTATTTTGCTCTTATACTGTATTTTGCTAAGTCTCGCCTTTTGGTCTCACACTTCGAATCGAAATAAACCTTACTAAAAATTGGAATTTGACGAAACGTCGCATAGCTTGGTGGCCATGTTTTACAAAGAATTTTTTAGAAGTTGTGACATCAGCATCTTCTGTGACATGAAACTTTTCTGTTTTCATAGTTTTTTTCGTAGGCAACAACCGTATTTCTGTCTAAAATATCACAAAGTCAAATTATTGGAAAAGACAATTTCTTGACAGATGTACTGTTAGTGCCAGATTCCTTGCTTTAGATATACAAGGTGTAAGTGCTCGATTCCTTGTGTTAGATATACAAGGTGTGAGTAGTTTTCATGACTTGCGCGAGTAGCGCCTCTGTATTGAAGGTAACCGAGTCATAACGCTACAGGATTTTGCACAAGTACGGTCTCTCCTGCAGTTTACCGTTATTTCCAACGTTGTATGGTGTATTGTTACAGTTGTACGGAGAAATCATAATGTAAGTGTTTATCTTATCAAAATATATTTGCATAGTGTACTTATAAGTTGTCTGTATAAATAATTGTGTTAAAATATTGGTACATTAGCTAGAGCACCTGGTAGGGTGTGGCCACTAGTATGAAATACAGTAAATGTAAATACGAGAACGCATTGGTATAATTGTCAATTGTATAGCCTTGCTGTTATTCAGCATTTAACGTTTTAATTAAAATTATATTAGGATAATTGCACTATAAATTATATTTCATATTATTTGTGCTCATTGAATAGATATAACAGATCCAAGTCTCGCTTTATAAAGCCGATTTAATGTAATGTTCAATATATCTAGTGTAATACAGTAATATATTTGATATATGTAATTTAAATGTTCAGATGTATATGTATAAGTATTTACATCGTTTCCTTTATTTATTTATTTTATTTATTGTTTTCTTTCCTAGATTATGTACCTTGCTGACTTGCTGATATGCTGACTTGTTTATTTGCTGGACCGACATAAGAGATGTGAATGGCAAAATGTTAACTGAACTGAACGTTGAAATAAAGCACGAGTACAATATATTCTTTACTGTCTCAACGATTTCACATGTACACCACTGGAAATGAAAAATTAAATTAATAATAATAAAACAAAACCTTTAAAATAAAACATAATAATTCAAACTCACCTACTTATATTTGTTTTCGAATAAGCATTAAGTTCTTCTTATTAAATGGAATTTAAATGAAAAGAATCCGCTTCAAATATCTGTTTAACATGAACGATGCGATGTCCCCTTTATATATACAGTGCGGCAATCGTGTCCTTGACACAACCATGACCAGGTGTGACGTTACTCAGTCACCCATGATAGATAGTCCGGTTCCTTTTTTTGCACAGATAAGCCTCGCCCTAGAATTTGATCCACTTACGCCAGGCTATATAACCCTAAACGTTTGATTAAATGGAGGGTAAACTCTCTGTTTCACGGACTCTCAGTTTCGCCACACCTGTTGCACCGACGGAGTGCATTGAAGGCGTAGCAGTTACGTCCGCGTTCCGCTAGAGCAAAACGATTAGCCAGATTAAAACCAGTTGTAGCAGACTGGAATTGTGTTTACGCCGTTCTTAACTCAGTTGGAGGTGGTATATGTCGTCCGTAGCTTGTTTGTAACAGGGTGCAGCAACATTGGTAAAAAACATATGACAGATGACACTTATTTTCAATCAAAAAAGGATTCTTATGTCCTTCTAATGGCCCCTCGTTTCTCTTTTTAACCTCTTCAGTGATCAAAATGAGCAGGAAAAATTGACTGCAGAAGTAAACTTTTATTTATATTTGGGCTCCAGAGGAGGCCGATCTCTTTTTTTTGGTGTGCTGGTGTCTTAGAAGGTTTTTTCACGGATCAGCACAATAGATAAATGTCGATGCTTTAATTTAACAATTTATATCGAAAATTTAGAAATTTTGTTGTGGGCAAACTATTCCAGCATACAATTGTTATTTAACATGGTTATTTCAACCAAATCGTCAATTTCATTTTTAATCAAAATGCATTGGTAAGATAAAGATATATTTCACGGTTGAGAACAGCAAAATACCACTCACTTTAATTATATAAAGTTGAAAAACAATTCAGGTCCTTATGTTGAAAATTGTTTTACATAGCAGATGTATTTGTATTCGCTGAATTTTATAATAAAATCAAGTGGCACCTACTTTAGTGAGTATTTTTTCCCAAACGACAAACCCCGACCACATTATTGAATTTAAATCGAGATAAAAATTTTAGTTTACACTGTTTTTTTTGTACCATAATTCCTGTATGGATTTTTTGACCCGTGACTGGTACATATTATAACCTTGAAGTATGTACAAAAAGTGTTCCGTTTGTTTTTTGAACACAAGTGTCATTTTAGGTCACCATATTACCACAAAGTGTCATTAAGTGTCATCTTGTATCATCCACGCGTCCACAACGGCCAGCCCACAAAATTACACGAATTAAATAAATCAACAATGAAGGAGTAGGTCAACTAGTTTTCAGTCAGTTTGTTCTGTTCTTAAAATGCTGTGCAATGGTGGTGCATGTGTACTCTCTGACTACAGTCGTTGGAAGTCTGTAATAGAATTATTGAGACGCGACCATACTCGCCATTTTGCATATTAAGAAAAGATGTCCTGAATGGCTGCCTGCCTGACTTATTGACTGTCTGACTGACCTCGCGACTGGCTGACAGAGCCACTAACTGACTGATTGACTGTCTGACTGACCTCTCGACTGACTGACAGAGCCACTAACTGACTGGTTAACTGACAGACTGAAGGGCTGGCTTACGACAGATCGACTGGCTGACTGACTGATTGAATGAATGAAGAATTGACTGATGGACAGAGTGGATGACTTACGGACTGATTGACTAAATAACTGGCCTACTAACTGACCGACTGACAAGCTGGCTGGTTGGATGGCTTAAAGACTGACTGACTGACCGAGTGGCTTACTGACTCAGATTGGCTTGCATTGTTTATGTTTATTTATCTTTGCTAGTTTGTTTATTTTTTTGTCTGTTTACTTTGTGTATACATATTATGTATTTTTTAATAAAAGAAAAGTGAAAGATTCGTCTTAGTTTACCAGAATGTACAACGCCCACTCCAATTCCACTTTTATTTAGGATATATAAAGCAAAGTAAGTTATGCCCTTGATTGGAGAGAAGGGCTTATTTTATAGCACGTGGAAGCATGAAAAATTCAAGTTACACTGTAAGAAATTTAGTTAATCGCATGTAAAATTAATCTATTTATCTATTAATATATGTATTATAACATCGGATAAAGTTAAAATTGAAAATTGATTTAAAAGCGTAAATATGTTTGTTTTCAGTGCTTATTTACGGATTGTATCTTCAATGTCGAGGTTAATTTAATTAACTATCTCTTACACAATCGGACAAACAAGCAAAAGCAAATAAACAACAGGAAAGGAGTGCGTCAACAACTGAGGTTTTAGTGCCATGTACGCCTGACATTAATTATATGTTATCCTTTGTCACGCAGGCCAGTATGCTATATATCACACAGATTATATCAGACACATTCCACTGTATGTAATTTAACTGACGCTGTTCTGTTAACCAAAAATATCACATCGAAACTTCTAGACACATGACACCGATAGTTTTTTATTTTACTGTATGAAAGACAATGATAAGTACTGTGCAATTCATTAGGATAGAATATAATTCTATGTTAATTTTCATCAGAATATATCAATAAGTATATGATATGTTTAATTTTCTATTTTTTATGCATAATAAAATTTCACTTTGTAAAAAGTTCACTAGAGTATTTTTCCTCTTTGATTAAATAATAATCTGTATACAAAGCACTCCCAGTTAAAACGCAATACAAAGTTCTTGGTTTCATAACTATCAAATTGCACTTATATTTTTATTTGATACTCGACTTTTGGTCTCACATTTTGGTCTCCAGAAAAAAAATTCTGAAAATTGGAATGTAACCCAATGTTTTATTACTGTGAAAAATTGATATACATACTAAAGCTAAAAATAGTCGCGGATAAACGCTGTATAGAGAATAGAGAGAAAGTTTGATTGAAGTTAGATTTTATTTAAAACAAGTGACATCTGGAATGACTGTGTTTTTACTTAAATAATATACAAAACATTGCGGTCGAAAAACCTTAAAACGAAACATAAATGGCATATGCACACCAGCAACTGATGAAAAACAAGCGTTGAACAACAATAAATGGTATTTTGTAAATTAACAACCTTCGGACAAGGAGCAAAAAAGTAAGAAATAAAATAACAAATAAACATTGTCTTCTAGAATTAAGTACATTAAATCACGAATAACTTAATGTGGACACGATTGTCTACGCATAAAATATAAAAAAATAATATTCCGATGATAAAATCTACTGGCCTATGCAAATGTTTTCGAATGATAATATCCTCAATATAAAATTTTCTTACAGTTAAACAAAATATGTATAAAATATATAAAACTATCTTTTCAAAAAGATGGATAAAAGACTCACTTTCATATACCTTTGCGACTAACCTTTTGTAAGTTATGTACTGCCAGACTGACACAAATATGTCTAGCTCCGTATTATGACAAGTAAAGTTACACAGTCTTGTCAACAGTCACATATTTATCACTGTGATAACCAAGTTCACAAATCACTCTGTCTTAAGCGATCCAGTGGATTTTCGGTGTCGGTATCCCATTAAAAGAAGACAAGAGGACAGTCGTATATGCCCCCATGTTAGGCACGTACAACCAGTCTCCGATGTCCAGCTCGGGAAGTTCTATTTCTTGTGTTATACAGTCAAAGGGGTTGCACGTTGGTCCCCATAAGCTGCTTTGGAACACTGGCATGGAATCTTTGTTCTGAAAAATATGAAATAAACAATTTATGAATTATTTGTCCAAATTATCAGGTCAAAGACATATCATTTCCAACAAGTTTGCTTTGGATCGAGTGTCCAATTCAGAATATTGGATTTTCAACATTATTTCCTCTTTTTAATTTGTTTCTTGCAATTAACGGTTCAGATTCTTTAAGAAATAAAACGAAGATGTGTTTGTGTTGAATATCATGTACTTAGCCATTGTCATCTCCACATATGGCTTGTTATGTGTCTTTCTCTTAGCACTTTAAACCCACAGTTATGTTATGAATAACAAAAACAGTACCTGGACGTTAGATTATAATCTGATTAAATATGTTAAGAGCCTTACCTCAAGTAAATAAAAATCAGGCGCATGTTTCTCAAACACAATATGGACGTAGAAGGAACCGTGGAGGCCGTCATTTAGGTAGTACATAAAGGTTTTCTGTGCGTCATCTCTATCTGATGGATCGTCATGATACGAGTCCGGTCGCTCCACCCGTCTTGCTATTACCCGTACTGCAAGAGTGAAAGCAGACTGTACATAGTAACGTCCGGGCTCTGCAATCACTTTAACATTTTCACCCTCCGGGAAATATTTTTCCAGTGAATTGTTAATTGCCTTGGCAATTTCAGATAATGATAGTTTTTCTTCAGTCTCAAAACCAGGGAATCCACCACCGATGTCAAGTAAGTTGAAATTGTAACCGATGGTCTTGGCCATGTCAAAGATGCCGCGACATAGACTGATGGTGTGTTCGTAGGCGAAGGCGTCAAGACATGACGAACCAACATGAAAACTGAAATTACAAGAAAAAATCAATATATGTACATATTTTCCCACATACTTATCACTTGTGTCAAATACATGCAAGTTGCTGCTTGCTATGAAAAAATGAGTATCCTCTATCTTTTGTCCATTTTTGATATACATAAGTTGTCTGACAGACTAAAACAGTGAAAGAATTTTATAACAATCCTAGGTGTACATACACGAACTGCTGATAATACATTGGACAATTGATTTCAAGATTGAACGACAAGGAGTTTTTTGTTTGGTACGAAAATTACCTGATTCCAACGACATTCAGTTCCAATTCTTTCGCCTTCAGTAAAAGTCCTTTACAGTTTTTAATGGCACATCCAAATTTTTTCCCCATTTTAAGAACGGCCTTTTGTACTTGTGGAAGAATTCGTAATACGAGTCTTGCATGAGGATATAGATGTTTTATTTTCACAAGTTCATCTTCATTGTCAAATGTCATCAGATCAACGCCTCGTTCTGACGCATGTTTGATTTCTTCGGGATCTTTACACGTTTGGGCATATATTATTCTATCTGTTTCCACCCCATATTTTAGAACCTGTTGGAACTCGGCGCTACTGGCGCAGTCAAACCCCGCCCCAAGTGCCGCAATGGTCTTCACGACTGGCTCAGTGTTGTTACATTTCACGGCGTAGAAGGGTTTGACACGTGGCATTAGTTTCACCCAGTGCTTGTGCTTGTTGACTATGTCATCCAAGTTGGCGATATAAAAGGGCCGCTGTCATGAAAAAAGAAAACATTTATAAAATATACTCCTGTATTTATTGAGTATTCTATCATTCTCAAGAAGAACATCTTGTACAAAGCAAGCTGATCCTTTTCTTTCTTTATGAATAAACATTTTAATTATGTATGATTAAGTACAAAAAATCATGTAAACATTGTGTGAATAAGAAGGCCTATACAAAATATCGCTAAATGTACATGTTTCGTACAAGCTTCAGGGTATTGCGCACAAATGGACGTAAAATTGCGCTCATACTTAAAGATCAGATGGCTTATAAAGCCCTTACCATATCGTCTCCTTGCTGTAGTTTGTCTTTGATAAGGTGTCGCATAGCTTGATGACCACGTTTTGCAACGAATTTTTCTGACGCTGTGACGTAAGCATCTTCTGTGACATGTAATCTTTCTGTTTTCATAGTTTTTCGCATCCAGCAACCGTAGTTCTGGGGGTAAAATAATTATATGAAATTAAATAATTGAAGCAGACAGAAATGTCGCCATATTCCTATTTTATGATAATATACAGGGTTGTAAGGTGAAAAATAAAATTAAATCTTTATAATAAAATAATAAAATCCATTTACACTCACCTTCTTCAATGTGTCTTTGAAATAGAAATAAGTTCAGTCCGTGAAAAGAATCAAAAAATATCAAAAGAAAATACTAGTACAACGCTGCAAATGCTTGTTTGCTTTTACCCGTGCGATGTCCTCTCTATATATACAGTACAGTGTATGTCGGAACAGCGTGTCATGACGTATCAAGATGACTAAAATAGACCCTGCTTACCTATGATTTGACCCTCTTTACGTCGAATGGGGTAAAATTAAACCAAATTGTATTCTTGCGGTTTTCCGTTATGCGACCTAGTTTTCTTTATATATTCAATGTGCTTCGATTCGTGACAAAAGTTACACTATAGGGCTTAATGTGGTAATGTTGCCTGGACTTTAACTTAGGGACAGCAATTCCGACACTTCCACACAATGATTAAGACGTCTACTATTTAACAGATGTTCTGCACACCTCCAAACGTCCTGGTATTGCGTCAGACATTGTCGGTTTTTCGTTACATCCAGCAGTTCGGGATAAGGCCTACGGATTTCAGTAATTTTAAAATCCAATCAGATCAAAGTAAAACGAAAACGATTATTTGTCACCAGAACATTATATTTTACTCTTTTTTTTCAAGGGATGCAGATGCAGATGCACGAAAACTTATATGCGTTGAGTAGGATTTGAATAATGCATTACCCTTATTTATTTACTTAAAATGCATGTATTAGGCTGGAAAGGAGGACCTACCTGGTAAACGTGCCTTAATCCATTTGGGCACCTGTTTATTCCATAATTTATCACTACTTTTTTATTTCATTATTAACCCTTTTTTCGTCTTAAAATGAAGAAAAAGAAATTGTCACCATAACTGACGTACCTCGGCCCCGGTACACACCTTGATTGTTTACGTTGAAGAAGGATGTTCAGCCCACTTTACACCGGACGTCGTCCTTTCTACGTCCTGTAGTACGGCCCCGTTTGAGAGTAAAAATAAAAAGTAAAAATAAATAAAACTTTACTGGCCGAGCATTGAGCATTCATTTTGCAACGAAAGCGATGCTTCTGCCTCCTTTTTACGACCACTACAATGCCAGATTTATGGTAGCAGAAAGGACGCAGAACACTGTCCAGTGTAAAGGCGATTTAACCACCTATTTTTAACCAGTATGTAAAAATGGTTGTAAAATGAATCATTCATGAAGACATTCATGCGCTGTTACTAAACGTTGCATCTGGCGTAGGGGGGGGGTATCGACCACGTGAGGTACGCAACTAGAAAAACACTCGAGTAAACACGATTCTTCAACATTTTTCCATTTGAAAATAGTCAACGAGGAGTGTATTTGTTGAGTAAAGATATGGAGAAAACAGTGGTAAATGTATTAGTGGTAAATTGACAAATTAAAGAAAGCTAGAAAAATGACTCATGAATAAGATACTTCATTCGTTTTAGAGGAAAAGGTGCATCAGTGCCCTTCTGCGTCCGCTTGAGTGAAATAACGGATGGTAAAAATGTAATATGTTGTAGACAGGGTTGGATAAGTGAGTAATTCAAGAAGACATTGGTGCACCTCTAAGCAACAGGAATTCCGAACATTTCAGGAAAACAAATAAAAACACAAAATGAGCCAGGTTGGAAAAATAGCATGAAATGATTATGTCGCAATATCCGTGTGAAAAGTACCTGTAGGATCGGATGGACTCTAAACTTTTGATTTACCAGTACTTTTTACGTGTTATGCCCAAAGAAGTACACGTACGCCTTGTGAATAGCAAGAATGAAAAGAAGCAAAATTTTATTTCAAAATATATTAAAAAATATCAATGATCTTGATATAACCGTAACTGGGTTCATGTAATCAAAAGCGAAGGAGTTGCAGAGAATGGTTTCAAAGTGAAGCTTGCCAAATATGCGGTCCTTCAAAAAGTCGGTTGCATACTAAAAATTTTTTATAATATCATTCTGATATCTTGTAAATCATAGCATCCCTCCTTACAGTTTTAGACAATTATACTGCAGGCCATTTTGAAAATCATTTTGAACGTGCTGATATGGTGCGAAGATAACCCGCCTCAACTCGAGTGTAAATGCGCCTCATGAATAATTCTATATGGCACACGACGGAAATGTATTTAATGGTTCGTTAAAGTGACTAATTAGAAAGCTTGTACTCATTCTATCGGTTGTGGAGAATATAAACGTTTTTCATCACGGCTCGTTGGTCTAGGGGTATGATTCTCGCTTTGGGTGCGAGAGGTCCCGGGTTCAAATCCCGGACGAGCCCGTCCCCCTTTTATCAACCACTGACTTTAACTGCAATAAAAGTATAAACGAATGAGCTTACACGATTGAGAGAGCGTGTGTTATTGAGGAGGGACAGAAGGGTGAAGTGGTGCGGTGAATGCGTTTTGCTTTGAAACATATGTAACAGGCAGTTGACTCTTTAAAAAATCATGATTTACCCATATGCCCATGGCCTAGCATGCGGGTAGACGTCATTTCGATATCTTTTTAGGTCCACTGTAGAGCCCGTACTGCGTTTATCAAGCCTGGGGTGATTTAAAATGAAACAAGGAATCTTGTTGTTGAAATAACAAAAATGATGGTGATCACTGGGCCCTCTATACAAGCATTCTTTTAAGAAACAAATGAGCAACAGCGCACAGCCGGCATTTTATTCTTGAGTATATTTCATGTCGCACATCATTTGATAAACATCTGGATTCTACAAAATTCACACCCACTATTTTACTTTTTTAAGGATTTTATATATATATGTCATAATTTCAGGCTCAGTATCAAGCTCAGCATATATTTTGTTTCACCTATACCTTTACTAATCTATCATTGGAATTTTACAAGCATGATACCAGGTTGCGAAATGAACTATATAACTATATATTTGGGGGCAGAGACAATAAAATATCGTATGTATCAGGAAAGGGACTATATGGTGATAAAACAAAATTACATGCTATCTTGGAACGCGGTTAGAAGTGGATACTTAAACAGATCTGTCCATAAATAAACGTTTATGACAATCCTGCAGTCAAGGTTCCCTTCTTATTCACTGATATCCTCGCATAGTTAAAATGAATGTTCTATTTTTACACTAGTTATCGCTAAAGTTGACATTTAAAACAATGTGTTAAGACTTATTAAATTTTCAATATGTACGGTATTTGTTATCAATTCAGCCACTGTATGTACTGAGAACCTACATTCTTTCAGGATTAACAGATCAGGTTTGGACGAGGCACGAGTTTACTCTATGGAGGCTCCAATACGAAGAAAAGAAAAAATGTCAATATTTATTTAAAAAGCAACGCGACTAAGAGGACTATCCACCTGCTCTCCGAAATAAAAATGGGGGCTGGGGGGGGGGGGGGGGGGGGCTCTGA